ACCTGATCAGTTTGACTACACAGTAACACCCGCCACATAAAAATAAACACCACTGCGGCTGAAACTACAAAGCTCTATATGTGTGAAACTTCATCTCCGGCGACTAAATGTGATAGATTACTAATATTTATGAATGTAAAAACAACTTCCTTTTCGTATTCAACGGAAGTTCATTACAACTTCAATAAAATGTGTGTGTGTGTGATTACTTAGCCATTTTCAATACTGATTTTATTTTTCGTATGATGTAAGCGTTGTCAAAATGTTGAGTTCATCAAACTTGTGAACTTTTGAATAAAAATGCGTAAAGAGAAAGAACACTCCTGTAACATAAAATTACGTCATAACCAAAAAAATTAAATGGATTAGACAATCATAGAAAAATCAACGAGGAGGAACCACAGGAAAGTTGTTTCCTATGTTAGTTTCTGGATTCCGCCAGGTTATTTACTAAATCCAAGACTTTCAAGTTACCTACTAGCCGAGAAAAGTGTCCATTTTTAATAACAACCACTAGGTTGTATGGAATCCAACGACCTAAGAATGGTAACTTGTATGCTTTATTGCAAACTGACAATTGGATACACTTTCATCCATGAAGAATTGTGAAAGATCACTTCAACGCTGAAGAAGATTGCTGTATAAAAGTGACTATGGAAGCTTTGTAAGTCAACCCATCTTGCACAGACAGACAATAAAAAAAACATCCAATCAATCCGTGATGTCCCATAAATTTAATTGGTGGATGGTGACTAGCAGTGGAATCTAGGATGCGCATTTCCTCCTGACTAGTGGACAACGCTTGGGCGTTTGCAACTATGAGGACTGTGTCCGAGCCTCCGTGGAAACATCATCACTCACTGGGAAATGCAGGTACATCCAGCTGACGAGTCCCAAATAGGACGAAATGTGCCTTATCATGGATTCCACCAATTAACTTCCAATTAAATTCCCAGACATCGTCGAAGCATCTGCCCAAGAAGCCGACATATCACAATCTGAGACCGAACACTTCGGTCCAATCAATCGACGGGAAAATCTAAAATTCAATCAAAATGTTCTATAAATGTTTTGTAGTGGACCACGTGGGTATAATAATTATACTGACACCAATGGACAACTCAGCTGATGTGCTAAATACTCCTATTCACGTGTGGTGGCACCACCTTCCTCGCTGACCCACGTAAATATCAAAAGACAAAGACTGACATGTGACTGTTAGGATACAGTTTTTTTTTTATATATATATATATTAGCCACCATAAAATCTATCCAAGAGCAATAGAAATAGATTAATCTGATTGGTAGGCGATTCGGCTAGGTCAGTCAGTGAAAAATAACTATTCTGATTGGCTAGCAATTTGACTAAAAAAATTTTACAGTCGTCCAATCGATTACACGATGAATCTATAAAATGATTACAGTATTTTAAACAGATTCACACTATCTTCAAGTGTTGGTTTGTAGGGATTTGATTGATTGATTAACAGGATCTTCATCATGAACTGACATTAGTTAGAGAACCGTTTGGAAAACTTGGGACAAATACCCGCTAAAGACATTGGCTAGGGGTGGTCGCGCTATGTCGTGAATCGGCAGAAGTTGGAATTCATGAACTGACCATTGGATCGGGTCCCAGTGGCTGGCTTAATGGTATACTACGAGCTCGCTGGCCTTGTAACCAGAAGTTCCTGGGTTCGAACCTTTGCAGTGTGGTGGGTGCGTACTTCTGAAGAGTCCCAAACTATACCGGTGAAACAGCAAGCTGTCCAGTACTCCCAAGATTCACTGTCTGTCAGACGATGAGTTAGTTATGTTAACGGTTTCTAGTTATATTCTTCATCATTTTTTTCTTTTCACAAATTTGCCTAGTGATTCAACTGATCCATTCAATCGTCAACCCTTATCAATGTCACAAGTAGAACCACAAGAAAGCCTACGATCAACTATTCGTGCATGGATTAATGAACGTAGAGCCCAAAAATTACAGAATACAACTACTACTCAGGCTGAACAGAATTATTCATGATTATAAATAAATAAATAAATCTATAACTTATAAAAAACTTCTTAATCTTTTATTTATACATACATATACACATATACATACTACAAAATTAGTAGCATTACTTCTTTTTTTATCTAAGTTATCTTTGTGTGAAGTTGTTTGTTTGTTTGTCAATCTGTATGTGTGTGTGCGTGCGTGTGTGCTTGTTTTTTTTATTAATTTAACATTTTGTGTGGGTAGGTAGGTATTAATTAATATTGAGTTTTTAATAACTTACCCTTCATTCACTTGACGCGCCTTTGGTGTTTTGCACACTCATAAATTCATCTCAATGATGGAATAATTGAGGGTGAGTAATGATAATAATAATAATAATAAAGTACGCAGCATTAATCCATCAGTGTCTGTGTCATGTAAGCTATCAGTAGTGTAACACTGACACACGCACATACAAATGAATGAAATATTGTCAACATCAGTAAACAGAAAAGCCACAATAGAGAGAGAGAAAGACACACACACGTCATTCAATAAATAGCACAAAATAAAGAGAGCGCGCGCGAGAGAAAGGAAGATAAACGATAAAATTATGTATCTTGTTTTGTTGTAATATATGTGTAATTTTTTAAGATTTACAATTAATTCTTAATTGAATAAAAGTAAGACTGTTTGTTTTCTTTCTATCAGTCATGTTTTTTTTCTTCTAAATTTCGCCATCATACTAGGCGGCTAGCGATAACGAAGTTAAACTTATGCAGCCAGATGAGAGCTTGTGGTGAGTTGTCATCTGAAGTGGTGGTGACAATTAGTAGTAGTGTCTCCCCATTTCTGTTCAATTTCATCATAGATATATACTAATGGAATTAACCGTCACTGTTGACTCCAGAGACTAAGGGATTGACTTGTTATCAGAAGGTAATCTCGTTGACTTGGAATATGCAGACGATATAGTTCTTCTAAGGGGCGCGAAGATGCTGACAAAATACACGTAGGAAGGTGTAGACCGGCAAACTGCTTGGCGTCCTCGGGACGGTAAAAACCATTTGCTTTGCAATATACACGTAGATATGTAGTTCATAATGAAATGAAAGGATCTTTTTTATCTTAAGACCAAGCGATATAGTACTGCATAGAAATCTATACCGATACAACTATTATTAGTTGTAACCGACTGACATCCACGTAGGTGAATCATAGGCGAGGAAAAAGTCTCAACCAGTTTGCCATATTAGACGTAATTCTCAGTTGCAAAGACAATGGTTGAATTAGGCAATCAATTTATAGAAAGCCTACTTGGACAGGGTAGTGTTCACAGCTTCTGTCTACTACAATATATGAGAGGCTTATTCAAGAGAATTCAGCGTATTTGTACAGCTGTTATTATTATTGTTTCGTTTAATTCCTAGAGGAACATAGGGCTTCAACCTCACGTCTCCATTGTGTTCAGTTCTTCGCCAACGTTTTCACCTGGCTGTACGTTTGCCCGGATGCTTTCATCTCCTCTTTGCATAACATCCTCTATGTCACTCTCGCACTGACGACCAACTGACTCACCGCTTCCCGTTCCACTTGAGCGATGACCTGGCGCGTGATGTCGCTTAACGGTTTCCTTAGAGTATGTCCTCCAATCAACCTACATTTCTTCCTGCAGTTGATGTTATAGAGGATGAAAATAAAACCCTCTCCTTGAAAACGGATATTGTTTACAATTTTTAAATCGGAGTAGAAGTCAGTTTTTAAAAACTTGAGATCTATAATGTCCCTAAGAAAGACGTTTTCATTAAATTAACATACAATCGGGGAAGCAGATATTAGGATTTCAAGACAGAGATTAAACTTGGTCATCCGTATAACGTATTATGGAGCCCGGCTTATGGTTTTCTAACCAATGTCAGCTCATGATGAAATCCTGTAACCAATCAACCAAACCCCTACAAACCAATACTTGATTACTGGAAAGCCAAAATTACGCTCCACTGTAAACCTCGAAAGTGCATAAGTGATGATGTCATATCCCGATCTATATACCAATTTACGTGCATGTGTGTAGACACATATATAGGGAGGAGTAATGGCGTTTTGCATGTGAAGGTAGGAGGGCATATTTCGAGGTGGTTAGAGAAACAGATGAACTTAACAAAATCGATTTGGTCTATCGATATGAACCGCCATAAGATTGATGTCAAAATACAACTTTTAAGGTTATTCTTAAAAATAGTGAAGGGTGCTTATTGAAATATGCTAAGGCGATTGCTATTCGTAAGCTTAAGTCCCCCTCTTCTCCAACCTCCTGTGAGTACCAAAACAATTTGTTATGACTCTTAAATCCTTTTGGTCACTTTGTGTATTTTTATTGGACTTTATTATTCATATAAATTGACTTGACAAGTAAGTATGTGTGTGTGATCAGATTGTTATTCGAAATATATATCAATCAAATACATCATATCACATTTTTTAGATAACCCCCGTCTTCTAATCACATTATCCAAATTTATATAGGGGAATAGTTTTTTTAAATCGTACTTTTGTAGATAAAAACAGCAGATTCACCAGAATGGATGTCTGTTAGTTGGTAGGAGGCAATCGGCAGGAAGTCTTGCTTGACTTAGGTTTCGTGCTAGCTGGCGCTTAACAGTCAGTCGTCAGCAATGCGTATCTGTAACCATCTTGAAGGTACTCATTTTACTTCTCAGATTCAAATCCGTGTCACCACTACTCAGTGCTGCGGTCAAAGAGAGACGTTAACACTGAGTGATTCTGACTGGCGATTAATCTCCTGTAGGACTGACTGACTGTATTGGATAATTTGATTGGACCACTAGTAGCTAGTGTGATGTGTCTAGTCCCTTGTTTGGCACAGGCTGAATTCTATCTGTCGGGTTTGCAGTGCGGCCAACATTCTAGGTAGCTCGTCATCAACAGTTCAAAGAGCACTGGGATGGCGAGTTCCCTAGAATGTTGGCTGCACTGAAAACCCGACAGATAGAATTCAGTTCCCGCCAAACAAAGGATTAGGCACATCACACTAGTTACTAGTGTCCAATCAAAGAATGGATGTCTGCAAATTTGCTTGATAAATAAATAAACGCCAAACTTGTTATCTGCTTTTTATTTGGTGGTTGGTATTGCATATTCGGACGACAGTTACAGTGTTTACTGCAGACTATCAACAAACGGCTTATTCTGCTTTTGCACTTTTGAGAGTATAAAATCGTCATTCGTGGAAGCCGTACTACTTATTGAGCTGCCCCCTCCCCCCACGTTTCTCTTAGACTCGATACTTTGCACTAATTCCAAGATCTATAAATATACCATACATACATTTACCATTCCCTGAGTTCTACTGCATCCGACGAGACGAATTCGTAATACTCTAGATTCTTTGACTTCTCAAGACAAGTAACATCACATTCACAAATTCTTGAGAGTCACACACAGCAACTTCCGGACCTTATTCAAAAATTGGAAACAACGACATGTGTGAACATTAGCCAAAACTTTGGCAGTCTACACTACAAGTGTGCTTTGTATCGTCTCCGAGAGAAACACATACAAAAATAAAAAGTGGTTTAGTCACTTAACCAACCAACTAGGTGAATCCTCTAGATTCAGTCTATTCTCGTGAAATTGTTGGTGTGGGAACAGTAACAACAACAACTCTCCTCTCTACGAGAAAGCGCCAGTAGGCAGTCAGCCGTCTGCTTGCTGTTCCAACAAATTAAATAAAAAACATTCAAGCACAGGTGTATATAAATATATATTTACAAAGTACGAAATTTTACGATACCTTGTTCACACCGACAATGCATAAACAACATAATTTCATGAGAAGAATATTACAACAACAACATAAGTGTGAAACGTTATTCTTCAAGGAAATTAAAAAGCCATAACTGACTACATCAAAAGGAAAAATAAGGGCTGAAAATAACAGTAGTAGTAATAATAATGGAATGCGTCTTATGATTTCAGAGACCGTTTTGTTCCCACCTCTACCGACCTCTTGTTACAACCAGTTCGTTTGGTCATGTGAAGTGATGGAAATGGGGGGATGTTACGCCGAAACAGTAGCAAATCACAACGAAGCACCAGTAATATATATATGTACAAAAGTCAAATTGCAACAACATAGATGTGCTCAAAACTTCCAAGCCAATAAACGATGATAACTACTGATTTTTGCAAATTAAGCAGATATACTACTAAATTCCATTGAAAGTAGTATGAAATTATAAATACAAATACATTTGATCACAACGAAGTATGAAAGACGCATTATACATATCACTAAATTGACTATCACATTAATAGATATATAGAATAAGATAATGATTTAAGTTATCGAAACTTTGTAACAATCAGCAGGATACCAAATATGACGACCAATCCTGCTAATACAAGGATAACAATCATTTTACGATCTTTTGATTGATGACTTTGAGCTTTTGTCAGCTGTTTTAGGCCTTCTTGTACACGGATTTGAGTATGTTCCACATTGTAGTCGATGCGATCTATTAATGTGCCCTACAAAAATATTAATAATCATATAAGTGGTTTTGATAGTAATATATAAAATAGCAACGACCATCTTGCACAGTGTTGAAGAATTCTAAGTTTAGAATCTAATTTGTGTATGGTGAGTAGCAGTGAAATCCAGGATAACGCGTACTTCTCCCTGTTTGGGACTCGTCAGCTGGATGTGCCTGCAGCTCCCAGTGAGTGATGATGTTCCCACCGAGGCTCGAACCCAGTGCCCGTAGTTTCATACGCCAGAGCGTTATCTACCAGACCACACGAGAGCCACCTCTTGTGCAACGGGTCATATTAATTATTTAACTGAATTTTAGATTTTCCCATCGATTGATTGGCCCGAGGTGGTTGGCTTCAAGGTTTGAGCCTCAGTGGGAACATCATCACTCACTGCAGAATGCAGATACATCCAGATGACGAATGCCAAATACAACGAAATGCGCCTTATCCTGGATTCCACTGATAGTCACGATACACAAATTAAATTCAAATTACATGCCCAGACATCGTGGAAGCATCTGCACAAGAAGCCGACACGTCACAATCTGAGACCGAACACTTCGGTCCAATCAATAATCGACAGGAAAATCAAAAATTCAATTAAATAATTTTATGTGAGATGATTTATAAATAAATCAAGATAATGTACACTCTGTATGGGGAATACTAAATAAAATAAGACGAAGTGCGCATTATACTGGATTCCATCTACCGTTAGTCACCATCGACAAACAAGTAATATTTGTGAAAAGCTGTTAAACTATTGTAATGACAGAAGACAAGGGTCAGGCTACACATCATTTATTGAGAAAATCAAGAGATATTTATCGATTTTTATGTACATTATTATTAGCATTATTGTTAGCGGAGAAGCAGCCTCTATTGATTAATTGTTTCCTTGCTGAAGGTTATTCTGTACTGCTTGTGATTGTTTCTTAGAAAGTTAATCTACATATCTGTGAATCGTATTTACACACGTTAAGTTTACTGTGATTGGTTGATGAGTCCCTCAAGGTTAAGCTTTGTTACTGTTTCTTTTCTCATGACCCCGATTCGGGACGTAAGCAGCATCGACGTAAATTGTTTTCTACAATTTTGGCTAGCAGAAATCTCTCACTACACCACAACTTTGTTAACACCTGTTACAAAGAATTCATTCTTGGCACATAAAAATATATGTGCATCAGTTGAGGAGTGCTCGACAACAATGTAAGTGGTATACGATTGAATCCTTGACCAACGCACTTGTAAACCTATCTTAGCTAGCTAGTAGAAAGCCAAGTGTTGAAGATGGGAGGATTGGGAGCATGAGACTAGCGACCTCACCACTCCGTAAAAGTAAGAAATCCCTGCGCTACTGTAAACATTTCACAGCTAAAGCCTTATTTTCCACTAGGAACGTAAAGATGGCGCGGAAAGGTAAAAACCAATGGCTGGAGACAACTGGTAATATGGCTCAAAAAAAGTGATTGTTCTCGGTGACAGCGATGATGCATCCACTCCTTGTGACTTATGACTTCAAATGAAACTATATTGTTCTGCGTTATTACTACTCTCTTTGCCTCATATAACCACTGTTTGTTATCTCTGTTTTGAATATCTTTTTACTTTCTTACCTTGCTTTATATGCTAAGTGAAGCGTGGCAAATCGAAGTGCTGTACTTCTGCGCAAAGTTCTACGTTGAAATCAGTCAGACAAGTGGGCCAGGGTGGAGTGAATTACAATTAAACAAAACTCGAAATGATGGACAGAGCAGTCGTTGATCGATTGTTCAACTTACTTTTTCAGTTTAATCAAGGTTGACAAGTGAGAAAGAAAGAAAGAAACTCTCTGGTATTTCACTCCTAGATATCCCCCCCCTTTTTGACTAGAAAAGAGGAGGGTAAAATATTAAGTGTATGTAGAAAACCTATATAAGCTGGTCATGTATACCAATTTCTTCAGCTTCCTATCTTGGATCTACAAATGCGATGTAATAAAGTGCCTCGGTGCAGAGAGTAAGATAGCAATCTGCACTGATGAATGTCTTAATGAGGAAGCTTAATAGTACTAGTAATCAGTTGCTGAGTGAGAGCGGTTTCCATCACCAGGAAAATTCGTCGATAAGGATATGCATCTAAAGAGTCAAAGTACCAACCAGTTCTGACAAAATGTCTTATTCTTACAACTTCAATTCCTCGATGGTGATAACATCAGTGAGATAATAACACAAGACCTAAGGAATACACGACAGTAAAAAGAGTATTCAATGCAGCTGAAGTATACTGTTTCTTCAAAACCAACCAATCCAACCGCTATATTACGTTCGTGAGTTAAAGATGAACTATCAAATTTGACCTCTTCCTATGTGTATCTATCAATTTAACTTGTCCTATGGAGCCAGTTAGTTACACACACACCGTAATATTCTGTCTGTCTGTCTGGATTCATAGAATTCGCCGCTTTTTTCTTCGGGTTTCTCAAAAGACAATTGATCGAAAGCAGTCAACCTATCCATGTCTTCAACTCGTATTGGCCATGTTTCAGAGCCATAGAGAAGGACGGAACGAACTGGTGAGCAGTACACACGTCCCTTGGTTGATGGCCGGATGTCACGCCTACGCCAGAGATGGTGTATACCACTATCATGGATAGTGGTTAAGTAAAGGATAAACAAAGTCCACTGACAGTACTATACTTCTTCATCTCGTGGACACAGAAGACAAAAGTGATGTAAACAAGGCTTTATTTTGAGTCATCTACCGTATACCGTAAGCCACCTTCGTATGTATCTTAGTTAGTCTAAGCCACGAAGGAAGGTGTAAACTACCTGACTGGCTGGTTGGGGTCCTCGGGACGGTAAAAACCAATAGCTGGAAACAATTGGTGATATGGCTCAAAGTGATCGTTCTCAATCGCTGGCTGGGGCGGATGCATCCACTCCTTGTGACTTATGATTTCCAATGAAACTATACTGTACTTCGTTATTACTATTCCTTTGTCTCACACCTCTGTTTACTGTCTCCAGTGTGCATTTCTTGTACTTTCTTCTCTTGCTTTGTGTGCTACATGGAGGGAGTGTGGCGACTTGAACTGCCGCACATATGTGCAGAGTTCTTTGTTGAAAACAGACAGATACCAACTAATCCTAATTTTACCTCAAAAGTTCGTCTGTTATACATATATTGCTGAGGCTGTCTGTTGGAATCCACCTTAATTAAGAAGCCTAACTTATGTATCCAAAAGGAGTTGGTCGGTTTAGAAAGCTTTCCTCACCTTGTTGTAGAAATTTTATTTGACATTCTATGTAATACTAGATTTTTATGCTTATTATAACTTATGCATCTTTCTTAAACTGTGATAATTCCATTATGATCTAAACAAATCGATATTATTCTCAAGTATTGGTTTGCAGGGATTTTGATTAATAGATTACAGGATTTCATCATTAGCTGACATTGGTAAGAAAACCATCGGAAAACCTGGGACAATTAACTGTTTCGACGGCCTGGTCTGGGACTCTTCGTCAGTACGCACCCACCACCACCACCACAGTTCAAATCCAGGACATTCCGGTTACAAGGCGAGCGAGCTCGTAGACCATTAAACCACTGGAAACCTCAACCTAATGGCCAGTCCATGATTTTCAACTTCTGCCAATTCACGACATAGCGCGACCGGTAGCCAATGGTCTTCGGCGAGTACTTCTCCTCACACCCGACCCGCTGCAGCCTACTAGTCACGATGTCCCACTAGAACCCCAGGTAACCATCTACCTGAATAGGGCTAGTCACTAGTGAGTATCTCATTGATTTTCAAATATTGGTTTGTGTAGTACTCCCAGGTTTTCCAATGACTTTCTTACCAATGTCACAGCTCATGATGAAATCCTGTAACAAGTCGATTTTATTTAAACGAGATACCAACATTGTTAATGGCGATTATTCTAGAATATTCTCTGTTAATAAGTATATATATATATATCATTGGGGAGCTGGGAGGGGAATTCATCAGAAAGAATATTCTTTAATCAAATTTTCTCTTGTCTCCTGAATGTCTAATTACCAGTGTCGTTCAAGAAGTATGTATAAAAAAATCACACTTAGCTCTGTGATAAGAGGTTATGCTTCAGGTAATGTAGTTCTTACAACAACTGATGGTTTTATTGCTATCATACTTTGAATTAAATTCTAGTTATAACAAAATCACTACACACATGAAGGATGTTATTAGACAGATTCCCCTTTTTTTTCATTCAACGTCGTTATGTTTCACGGAGAATTCATGACCTATAAATTAGTTGATAATATGCATAACATAACATATGCAACAACATCCAACGTCAATCACCATCAACGGGAGGGATTTGAAAGAGGTTACTTCATTCACTTATCTAGGGAGAATTGTCTCAACTACAGGAGGAGCGGACGAGGATGTCAAATCGAGAATCGGGAAGGCGAGAAACACATTCATCAGCCTGAAATCAATCTGGAAATCTTCGTCACTCAGCATCACCAACAAAATTCGGTCGAATTTTCAATACAAACGTAAAGTCAGTTCTTCTATACGGATCAGAAACTTGGCGGGCGTGTCACAAAGAATATTTCCAAAAGGCTGCAGACCTTTATTAACAACTGTCTTCGCTCAATACTGAAGATCAGATGGCCGGAAAGAATCACCAACAAGGAATTATGGGAACAAACAAAGCAAGAACCAATCGCCCAACAAATATGCAGGAGAAAATGGAGATGGATCGGACACTCGCTGAGGAGACCGCTCGGTGACATCGCGCGCCAAGCCCTCGAGTGGAACCCGAAAGGGAAGCGGCGTGTGGGACGTCAGTGCAAGGGTGACATGGAGGAGGTCGTGTAAAGAGGAGTTGAAAGAATATGGACTAAGATGGATGCAGATGAAAAGTACAGCAGAGGACAGAAGCAAGTGGAGACGTGCAGTTGAAGCCCTATGTTCCACTAGGAACCCAAGGGAGCAATAATAATAAAAAAAAATAATAACATAAGTGATCATTATGACTGACTGACTGGTTTCAACAGAAAACTTTGTACACATGAGCACCAGTTCCAGTTCTCACTCTCCATTCATTCACCACACAAATCAAGAGAAGAGATTCGAAAGAGAAAGAGATAATAAAGACAAGTGTGAGGGAAGAACAATAAAAGTTTTACTGGATTATGACTAACAAATCACAAAAAAGAGTGAATACATCTGCGCCAGGCGTTGACAACGAGGATTTTCAACCATATCATCAATTGTCTCCCAGCCACTGCCATGAGTTCTTACCATCCCGAGGATCCCAACCAACCAGTCAGACAGTTTACACACCTCCCTCTCTACGTGTCTGGTTGGCTTAAAATAACTGCTATGCATTTCATTGACTGTGATATCATCGGTAAACGGCGATCATCGTCAAACAGTTCTGTTCAGATAGATCATCTGTTCCTAGTGAGCACTAAATTCAGGCACAATGAGAGTAATCACTGATCACACAAATACACATTGATGCTGAAATTTTACACTATATTGTGTTATAAAACCTAGTATGATTAAAATAGTTTGTTGTAGAGTGTTTTTTCTACTGAAAGTTTACAACAGGTAGTGACTAACTGACTGACTGACTGGTTTCAGCACAGAACTTTGCATAGCACAGATGTGCAGCAGTTCAAGTCGCCACACTCCCTTCATGTAGCACACAAAGCAAGAGAAGAAAGTCAAAAGAAATACAAAGTAGAAACAGTAAATAGAGATATGAAACAAAAAGAATAGTAATAACGAAGAACAATATAGTTTCATTGGGTATTATCAGTCACAAGGGGTGGATGAATCTGGACTAGACATTCAGAACGATCTTGACCTAGTCATATCATCAATTGTCTTCAGCCTTCATTGGTGTTTATTGTCCCCAGCACCCCAACCAGCCAGTCAGAAAGTCTACACATTCCTGACCGAAAGCTGCTACCTTGACGTGGTGGTCGGGCTTGAACACCGCAATGACCTAATCAAGCTATACTGGCTGAGACTTATGTCTCTTGAGGTTCTACCATGCCAGGCAGGTTGTTTGGATAGCGGTTAAACAAAAAGCAGCTACCCAATCCAACATCATGTCCAATACAAAATTACAAAATTTCATGCCGGATCGGCCGTGGCCCGGATTAACAACGACCGCGCTTCCTGCTGCCGTGTCACAGGGCGGGAGTGATAAATCTGCTACTGAGACACACCAAACAAAAAAGAACGAACAAAAACAGGCCGCGTGTGACCGGCCTCAAGCAGTTGTCCCCTGGGCTCTGCGGTCACGCAACCAACTTCCACGGTGTGGGCAGCCGGGAAGTAACAATCGCCCTCACAATCCGAAATGCACACGAAACCTCTCTATTACTCACTCATCTTTGTCTTCATCTTCATCTCTATCATCTTGCCTTCCTTCCACTGATGCAACTCCTCGACTTGATAGCTCTCCACTTCCTCTCCACTCTGCGTCCACTAAAAACGATGGAAGCCAAAAAACCACCACCGACAGCCTCTTAAAGCCGCGCCACCAATTTCATATAGGAGCTCTTAATGTTAGGACACTTTGCCAAATAGGACAACAAGCATCACTAGCCAAGACCCTGGCATCACGAGCCATTGATGTATGCTGTGTTTCAGAAACACGCATACAAGACCCAAGTGTGGTTATTCACCTAACCCCACCTGGCCAACAGGTTGAATCTGCAAAATTCACCTTGAGGGTGTCAGGAGATGCCACAGCTAGTTCACGAGGATTAGCTGGCGTAGGGATAGCTTTGAGTACTAGGGCAGAAAAGACATTGCTTGACTGGATCCCGGTAGATAGCCGAATGTGTGCTGTCCGCCTGAACGGATCAGTAAGAAGGAGGAAGGACTGCACTACTCGCCGATGCCTTTTCGTAATCTCCGCCTACGCCCCCACTGACTGCAGTTCAGATGAAACGAAGGATGAGTTCTACCAAAAGCTGTCTAGTTTGGTGGAAAGGCTAAACGCTCAGACATAGTCGTTCTAGCTGGTGACTTTAACGCTCAAGTAGGGAAATTGTGTCAATCTGAGAAGGATGTCGGTGGCACCTATGGAGTCCGTGCCAGCGAACCGACAACGGTGACCGTCTCCTACAGTTCTGCTCTGATAATCATTTGTTTCTTGTAAGCACTAACTTCAAACACAAGGAGAGACACTGTTTGACTTGGAGACCCCCTTCATCAAACCAACGCTGGACACAAATAGACCACATAGCAATAAGCTATCGTTGGCGTGGGTCGGTAGGAGATTGTCGCTCCTTCTGGAACACGTGCGTAGATACCGACCATGCACTGGTCCGCGCTCGGGTGTGCTTACGACTGAACGGACGTAGGAAACAGCTGGCGGTAAAACCATCACGTCCCCAGCTCGATCAGGAAACTAAATCCGTATTTCAGGAAGAACTAGCTAAACACATATCTGTGTTCGACAGCTGTGCTCACCCTGAAGAAGCTTGGAAAAATATCCAGGCAGCCATAGATACAGCTGTAAAAGCTGTGAATAAGGTAAACCCAAAGGTGAGTAAAAACCACTGGATCTCCACCGCCTCATCCGAACTGATAGATGCTAGAAGACTTATTCCGGCGAGCTCCGAATTCAATGAGGAGCGAAAGCTGCACAAGAGGAAACTTACGAAAAGTCTCCGCAAGGACCGTGAACAGTGGTGGGCGACAAAAGCCAAAGAGATGGAGAAAGCTTCGAGGATAGGCAACACCAGGCAACTCTTTGGACTCATCAGGGAAACGGGTGGGAGAAGACAAATCATTAGTGAGACAATCTCGGAAAAAAATGGCACTATAATTAGCTCCAGGATAGACGACTGGATCGTTGGAAAGAGCATTATGAGGAGCAGTTTAATTTGCCCACAGCCACGCTCAACCTTCCGAGCATCCAACACCTCCCTGAATGGGATATAGACACAGGTCCTCCGTCACTAACTGAGGTTACTAAAGCTGTCACCAATCTGAAACTAGGCAAAGCAGCGGGACCTGATGGAATGACTCCAGAGGTATTTAAGTACGGTGGAGACAGCTTACTGTCCGGATTAACTGAGGTACTAGGCAGCGTCTGGGAATCAGAAGAAGTCCCATCGGGTTGGTGTAAGTCACTGATTATCCCCATATACAAGAAGGGAGACAAGTCTTCCTGTGATAATCACAGAGGGATTAGCTTGACTAATATAGTATCTAAAGTCTTAGGCTCAATAATCATGCGTAGACTGAGTGGTGCTCGGGAAGCACAAACACGAGAGAGCCAGGCAGGCTTTAGACCAGGAAGAGGGTGTATTGATCATATCTTCACCCTCCGACAGATTCTAGAACATAGGCATTCCTACCGGCGTCCAACAGTCATTATATTTCTTGACCTAAAGGCAGCATTCGACTCTGTCGATCGGGAAGTTCTCTGGAGATGCTTGGCTGTAAAGGGAATTCCAAGAAAATATATTGCACTGATTAAGGCACTCTATTCGTACTCATACAGCCAGGTGAGGGCTTACGGCGAGCTGTCATCTGAACTGATGACGACCAGTGGTGTCCGTCAAGGATGCCCATTATCTCCTTTTCTATTCAACTTCATCATAGATGTGTTAATGGACTTAACCCTAGGTGACTTCAGCGACTCAGGGATTGACTTGCTACCGGGAATAATCTCGTTGACTTGGAATATGCAGACGATATAGTCCTTCTAGGCGAAGACGCTGACGAAATGCAGAGTCTTCTAAACACCTTGAGCCGCAATCTACGAATGTTTGGCATGCGATTCGCTCCCGCCAAATGCAAGATGATGTTACAGGACTGGACTACATCGACGCCTAGTTTAAAAATAGGAAGTGAAGTGGTAGAGCACGTTGACCGCTTCACTTATTTGGGAAGTACCATCAGCCCCAACGGGCTGATCTCTGACGAAATCTCAGCACGAATACAAGGGGCTCGTTTCGCATTTGTTAGTTTACGCCGACTCTGGCGTAGACGAGATGTTCGACTATCGACCAAAGGGCGGGTGTACTGCTCATCAGTCCGCTCCGTCCTCCTTTATGGTTGTGAGACCTGGCCACTGAGAGTGGAAGACATGAAAAGACTAGCTGTCTTTGATCATAGGTGCCTGCGTTCTATTTCCCGTGTAAAGTGGCATAATAAGGTGAGCAACATGGAGGTTAGGCGTAGAGTTCTAGGTAAACAGGGGAAATCAATCGACGAAGTCGTGAAGCTACAAAGACTGAGATGGTTAGGACATGTGTTACGTATGCCAAGCCATCGCCTCCCTCGACGAGCAATGTTAGCGGATATAGGGTCAGGCTGGAAAAAAGCTAGCGGCGGTCAAACAAAAACTTGGCATCAGTCAATGAAATCCACAACAGTTGGTCTAAGCCACGTAGGAAGGTGTAGACTTCCAGGCTGGGGTCCTCGGGACGGTAAAAATCTATGGTTGGAAACAATTGGTGACATGGCTCAAAATCGTTCTCAGTGGCGCAGATGCATCCACTCCCTGTGACTTATGATCTTCAATGAAACTGTTTTGTATTTCTTTATTACTCCTTTGTCTCACACCTCTGCTCACTGTTTCTATTATGCTTTTCTTGTACTTTCTTCTCTTGCTTCGCGTGCTACACGGAATGTGGCGACTTGAACTTCCGCACATTTGTGCAAAGTTCTATGTCGAAAACAGACAGACACCTTCCTACGTCACTGGTTGGCTTAAACTAACTGTTGTGGATTTCATTGACTGATGAAGACATGTTATGGTTTAACCTACATTAAGATAGTGGATATTTGCTGTTGCTGTTGTCTGTCTGTCTGGATTCAACATAGAACTTGGCACCGAAGTGCAGCACTTCCAGTTGCCACGTTCCAAATAGCACACAAAGGTAGACAAGAAGATGAGTGAAGAGAATCAATACAGTCTGACAAGTATACGAGTGAAACAGAATGGGTAATGGTAGAATGGAATACGAAAGATTACAGAGGCTGAATACACCTGCGCCATTGATAACGATTTTGAGCCATGTCACCCGACCGAAAGCTGCTACCTTGACGTGGTGGTCGGGCTTGAACACCGCAATGACCTAATCAAGCTATACTGGCTGAGACTTATGTCTCTTGAGGTTCTACCATGCCAGGCAGGTTGTTTGGATAGCGGTTAAACAAAAAGCAGCTACCCAATCCAACATCATGACCAATACAAAATCACAAAATTTCATGCCGGATCGGCCGTGGCCCGGATTAACAACGACCGCGCTTCCTGCTGCCGTGTCACAGAGCAGGAGTGATAAGTATGCTACTGAGGCACACCAAACAAAAGAGAACAAACAAAAACAGGCCGCGTGTGACCGGCCTCAAGCAGTTGTCCCCTGGGCTCTGCGGTCACGCAACCAACTTCCACGGTGTGGGCAGCCGGGAAGTAACAAACGCCCTCACAATCGGAAATGCAGACAAAACCTCTCTGCTGTTGCTGTTGGCGCATACAAAGAAAAGAGTAGTACAGGTATGGAACAACAATTAGTTTGCAAATGATGAATCCCAAGAAAGTATTTATTTATTTCATAAGCGCTACATTAAATTCACTTATTTCACTATCTATATGAGGCCAAAAACCCCTAAACAAACTAGATGACAAAGGAAGTAATTACAGATAACCACTATAATTTCTCTTTTTAAAGGTGTATGCAAGTTTACACTTGGTCTCACAGCTAACAATCTAGTACAGGAAGCAGTTTATGAAAAAACAAACATGGTTGCCAAAAAATGTGTCACACGTATATATATATATATATATATATATATATATATATATATACCGTAGTAAATTATCGATTAATTTAGCATGAAATAATATTTAGACAGATAATAAATAGAGAAAGAAATAAAGATATTATAGATGATTGGAGGCAATCGGCAGGAAGCCTTCCACCTCGGTTTCGTGCTAGTTGACTGACTGACTTTCTGCCGGTTGCCTTCAACTTAACCATCTAATATGAACAATTTACAGTGCACTGTGATGGTGATTCAGTCACCTAGAGTGGTGACCACATTGTAAACTTGACTACTGATGGAAATCGTTCTGAACCGAAGAAAGGACAAGACACATTACACTAGTGTTCAAACAGAGTATCCAATACAGTCAGTCAGTCAGTCAGTCCTACAGAGGAGGTCAACCGCCACCCTGATTAGCTCAGTGGTAACGTCTCTCTCTCTCTCTGACCAGAGCAGTGGGTGGTGGTAACACGGGTTCGAATCTCAGAAGTGAAGTGATTCCCTTTAAGAAGGTTGCACATACACCTTTGTTGACTGTTGAGTGATAAATGGCACTGAACCTGCTTTAGGCAGGGCTACCTGCTGATAACCTCCAACCATCTAATATATCGACAGTTCACATTGCACCGTAATGGCGAGCCAGCTAACATTGCAAACTCAACTAATGACAGAATACAGTCTGCACCAACCAAAGGACTAGACACAGATTACACTAGTGTACTAACTATTGTCCAGTAATATTTGTTGTTTTCCATGATTCCGAATAAAATACGGATTTTCAATACAAACGTCAAGTCAGTCAGTTTTTCTAAACGGATCAGAAACTTGGCGGGCGGGTGGGTCACAAAGAATATTTCCAACAGCCTGTTGCAGACCTTTATCAACCAACAACTGTCTTCGCTGGCTCTATACTGAAGATCAGATGACCGGGCCGGAAAGAATCGCCTACAAGAAACTACGGGAACAAACAAAACAAGAACCAATCGCTGTTCAACAAATATGCAGGAGAAAGTGGAGATGGATTGGACAATCGTTTTCAGGATGTATGCAGTCGATGAGTATCCACGAAATAAAACGAGCACGTATTATTCTGCAAACATGTTCGTTCTTTCTTTCTTCAAAATAACAAAGCAAGCTTAACCTTGAGGAACTACTCAACAACCAATCACAGCAGGCTTATTATTTTTTATAGTTAATTTTTTTCCCTTCACGTTCGCAGTGGAACATAGGGCTTCAAGCTAGTGGCTTGAAGTTTCTGTAGCAGTGTTTATTTTAACAGGATGCGGTTGCTGGCCTCACGCCCAACCTTTCCTTTTTACCAGCATTTCTGGCTTATCGAGATAAAGGAGTGAGTCGGACGGGGATAGAACCCCAGACCATGTGCATGGTAGGCGTGCGTCCTAACCGCCGTGTCACCGACGCACTTTCTTTATTTTGGTTAGCAGACAGCAGACTTAGCATGTGCAAATACGATTCGCAGATATATATGATCTGACCTTCAAAAAGAAGGCCACAAATTGATGACAGATTAACTTTCAGCGAGAAAACAACCAATCAGAAGGCTCTGCTTCTCTGCCAATAGTAACGCTAATAATCATGTACATAAAAATCTATAAATATCTGTTAACTTTCTCAATAAACGATCTGTTGCTTGGCCCTTGTCTTCTGTCGTTACACCTGTAACCAATCTATCAAATCCCTAGAAACCAATACTTGAAAGTACAATAAATAAACTTAGATAAACACATAAAATGAGTAATAACACAATAGATTAGCATTATAAATAAAATAGTTGAAATTTTACTCACTTGATCTACAACCATTTGTGCAACATCACGAAATATTTCACTTAATTCATGTATAGATCGAACAATTTGATTAATTTCTTGTTCACGTTGTACAACCATATTTGTATTCTCAGTTAATAGTAAACTACGTCTTTGCTTTTGGGATTCCCAAACCTAAAATTTACAATTCGAAAAATAAAACAGCACCATCAGTTTTATAAAAAAAATTAAAATTTAACTTACAAAGAAGAGGAAAAAGCAGAAGAAAGAGTTGGCAATGAGCTACAGTTATTGGCGGCTGCTTAAAACTGGGGCAACCGGAAGCCTCTATCTGCCTATTGCATATATTTTCTCTTTCGTTCAGTTTATTTTATTCGACTAAGATATGACCCCTCTGATGGTATTATCTACTCTTGTGTGTGTGTGTGTGTGTATTTGAAATGTTTATTATTATTATTATTTCCTTTGATTCCTCGAGGAACATAGGGCTTCAGCCGCGCGTCTCCATTGCGTTCGCTTCTCTGCTAGATCGGGGGTAATCAGATTGTCGGAACACAAGAATTTAGCTGAGGCAAGAATGGTTGACCCCGAGAAGATGAGTAGTTTAGAAAAAAGCTCAGCAATTGCACTACATGCATTAACACACAACCATACAATAGGGTGGAAGAGAGTTAATATTCTAAGAAGTAATCTATGTAGGTGGATAGCGAGAGAGATTGATTACTGACTGAATCCTGCCTGGTTCATTGAGTCTACATCCAACACATACAACATGAATGACTCAAGGCAAATACCAGAGATATGAATGGAAGATATATTATTACCACCAGTCAGTCAAATCAAAGGAGGATAGTAAATAAGCCTAAAATTCTATTTCAATTTACATACATAATAACATCCTAACAAGTTACTTATTATGACTATAAAAACACTCGTCTTATTTCCCATCTGATTGTATTTTATTGATAGCACTCATATTACTATTATTTCTGAATGCACTTTGTCTTACTGTATTGGTTTTATTCAAATGTTTAATCATCAATTCCACTCATGTGTATAAATGAAGCAAGAAAGTCGTGTGAGTAGTACCTTGATATGATTATGAGTAGCAATAGTTTGTGCTCGAAACGTGGTCACTAGTTAATATTACTGTATAACACTATCAAAATAAAATCTTATCCATTATGGAGTTATACTCTACCACAATGCCCAAGTTTTATACTTATATCCGATACCACTGTGCCTGTCACACGATACACTGTCGATCAATATTTTACTTGAAGATATTGTACGAAGGGAGAGAATATCATGCAATAAACTCCTGTGAAAATTCTGTACATTTTAAAAATACTATCCATAATAAAGGATATTATTATGTCATTATTTTATTTAATGTGAGGGCTAACGATACTATCAGCCGGTCGCCCAAACCTCTGTGGATCAGGCTTCGAACCCATAGTCCAAAATGGTTAGAAGTCCGACGCCTATTTCATTCAATGAGCTATGGCTTCAAAGTGTGATTTCCTCTCTCTATATATGTTAAACTGGTTTTATGTAGCATTCGCAAACTCTACACCCAGCCTCTTTTCTAAGTGGTGAGTAGGTGGGTCAACACAAAACATACTACTAGAACTAATACCCACAGAAATCTACAGTGACAATAGTGTAACGGTAAAAGACGAGAGACTTGGTAACGGAATGTTTATTGCCTAGAATTTGGTGTCTCTATATCGCGAATTGATGTACATCTTATCTCCTAAAATCATCATTTGCACGGATCTTCCCAGTTGTGCTACTTCTGCCCTCCCTTCATATTGTGTGGGTTTCTTTGTGACCCTTTTACATCTGCCATGTATCTCCGTGAGCAACGCTGTATCATTTGCTTTCTCGATAATCAAATCTATCTCCTTGCTATTTGATGTTTTTATGCCAATGAACGTCTCTTTATATACTACTGATAAATGTTAGCAGTAGTACACGTCGCAATGAGTAGAATTTTATTGGAGCGGTGTCTGAGTTACGAAGTTATATTTTTTATTCAAGTGTTGGTTTGTAGGGATTTGATTGGTTACAGGATTTCACCATGAGCTGACATTGGTTAGAGAACCATTGGAAAACCAGCTGGGAATACTGGACAGCTGTTTCGTCTTAGTTCGGGACTCTTCAGCAGCACGCACCACCGGGATTCAAGCCCAGGACCTTCTGGTTACAAGGCAAGCTAGCTCGTAGACCGTTAAGCCAATGGGACCCGATCCAATGGCCAGTGCATGAATTCCAACTTCTGCCAATTCACTACATAGCGCAACCGCTAGCCAATGTCTTCGGCGAGTATTTGTCCTCACACCCGACCTGCTGCACCGTACTGATCATGACTTCTCACTAGAACCCCAGGTAACTGAGTAGGGCCAGTCGCTAGTGAGCATCTCATTGATATTCAAGTGTTTTTTTAATTTTAATTTTATTATAGCTTGATTTCACACAGTATTTTGGTACAACTATAGTAGCCCAAATTTAGCAGGCCGACCATTGTCATCACAGGTGTGCGTGGTCGGCGAGCTACCTAACCGCTGTACCACCAACGTGTGGAATAAGTACAACCCAAATGATTTTATGATATTCAAGGGTATACAATGGCATTTCAATCTTCTATTTACTAGCCAGCGGGGTGAGATATGGGAAAGGATGATATGCTCGGTTCGCAGACTAATGTTAGCGATTTCTAAGGCGGCCAGACCTTGCACAATGATACTTTAGTTACTTATTCTGTTAGAGTTTAAAGAATTCTGAGCAATCATCCGATTGTACCGGTGACATCGGAGGAGAAAGATAACTTAGCTCTAATGCCTAATAACCCCTTGCTGCTGAGAGACTGTGATAGCCTAACAAAACAAGACCTTCATCAATCTTAAATCAGTTTGGAAATTTTCGCCACTCCACCAGCATAAACAACAAGATTCGGATTGTGTTCAACACAGATATGAAGTCAGTCAGTCAATGCTTCTGTATGGGTCAGAAACTCGACAGGCAATATTAGCCACTGGCATAGGGTTAGACTGGAAAAGAGCCAGTGGTGGTCAAACCAAAACATGGCTTCATCGGTCAATGAAATAAATCCACAACAGTTAGTTTAAGAAGCTTAGGGAGGTATATACTTCCTGGTTGGAGACAAGCGGGGATACGGATCAAGATCATTCTCAATGACAGAGCAGATGCATCCACTCCCTGTGACTTATAATACCCAATAAAACTATATTATTTTTCGATATTACTATTCTTGTTGCCTCATATCTCTGTTTACTGTCGCTATTTTGCATTTCTTTTTACTTTCTTCTCTGCTTTACTTTATCTTCTTCTGTGTGCTACATGGAGTGTGGCGACTTGAACTCCTGCACATCGGTGCAAAGTCGTATGTTGAAACTAGTTCAGTTCAGATTTATTATTTTATCCCTTTACGTTCCCAGTGGCAACAGTGCTCCCAGCTAGAGCTTTGAAGTTTCGGTAGCAGTGGTGTTTACTTTTACGGGATGGGGTTGCTAGTCTCATTCATGCCCAACCTTCCCTCTTTACCAGTCTTATTACTGACTTAGCGAGGTAAAGGAGTGCGTCCAGTGGCCGGGGATCGAACCCCGAACCACGTGCAGCGTAGTTGGCGAGCACTCTACCGCTATGCCCCAGACATACACAATGCAGGCACGGTAATACATATATGACAAGTTACTAATGAGGGTATGATGTTACAGTGTATAGTAAGCAGTAAAGTCTAACTCTACAGTTAGTCGGTGTACTTAAAAGGCCACTAGTTGATTAAACACATAACAATATGACGACAGGGAGAGAGAGAAAATGTATATCAAATTACCTCATTAACTTACAGCATAATCGTCATCTTCAAATTCATTTACAAGTTTCGAGGATGAATTATCGCCTATATTCAAATCTATGTTCAGATAACTGCGTATCCTTTCGTCTCTAGATCGTAGTTCTAAGAAAACGTAGAATTAAAAATATTTTCGGTGAAGCATTACAATCGACGTATATATATATATATATAATCTTTAAATAACTTTGTTTGATAATCAGAATGCACACATACATACGTACGCTTGTAGTTCCTCTGAAAATGAACGAAAGTAGTGAAAGTTGGCTTCCAGTGATTTGACTGGTTACAAGACTTCATCATGAGCTGACATCGGTTAGAGAACCAATGGAAAACCTGCACTGGAGTACTGTAGGGTTGTTTCGTCAGTCTAGTTTGGGACTCTAATGGTAAGTCGTAACCATTAGGGTGCAGTAGATTGGGTGTGAGAACAAATAATCGCCAGCGATGACATTGGCCAGTTACATGCTATATAGTGAATTAGTAGAAGTTGGAATTCATGAACTGGTCATTGGATCGGGTGTCAGTGGCTCACGTTACAACCGGAAGTTCTTGGGCTCAAACCCTAGCAGTGCGGGGAGGGGGGTCGGATGGATGTATACTTCTGAAGAGTCGCAAACTAGGCTGACGAAACAGCTGGCTGTCCAGTACTCCCAGATGCTTTTCTAATAGTTCTCTAGCTCATGATGAAATCCCAATGAATAAATTTGGATAACTTCACCACAAGTAGTACATTTTAAATCTTGATTTATTACAAGTTGAAGAATCTATCAGAAAACTTCTGCTTGAATGGGGAAATCGTAGAGGAAAATATTTTTTCTTTTGCTTTATTGGTGATGGTGGAGGAAAGTTTCATCCTATAAGAGATTTGTTATATTTCAATATAGTTTACACACAATGATAAGTTTTTGTGTTTTGGTAATATTTCGAGCGAATTTACTGCCCGTGATCACACACACCAACTGTTAGAATTACTTTCTTTTTTAATTCACACATTTATGATTTCTAATCATAGATATATAGTTCAATGTTTTTGTTCATTCATTTTTGTGTATTCAGAATTATATTCCAGGTTGTTGACGGTTGTGCTGCTGAGTCATCCTTGTTACATGGCTCAAAATCGTTCTCAGTGGCGCAGATGCATCCACTCCTTGTGACTTATGATCTCCAATGAAACTGTTTTGTTTTTCTTTATTACTCCTTTGTCTCACACCTCTGCTCACTGTCTCTATTATGCTTTTCTTGTACTTTCTTCTCTTGCTTCGCGTGCTACACGGAGTGTGGCGACTTGAACTTCCGCACATTTGTGAAAAGTTCTATGTAGAAAACAGACAGACAGACTTGTTAAATGTATGCGGCGTGGCCTTAATGAATATAGATTCTGTCATTAGTCTCTCTTTCCATTTGCTCATATTAGATTTGAGAATACAAACATTGTTCCAATCAATATTGTGGTTTTTATCCCATGCATGAGCAGATATAGTTGAATTTTTCTTCTAAATTACAGTAAGCTTATGTTCCTTCTGTTATGTTGCTGCTGCTGAGTGGTTAATAGTAGTTTTCCCCGTCGCCAAATTGTTATGTACTCGTCGCCAAATTATTGTGTGTACTGGTCGAGAATGTAATAGTCCTGACGCAAGAAAGACTGAAATCAGAAGACCACTAGGTTTGCGATGATACTTCTATTTTCCAAAACACCAGGAGAAACATACAGTTGGTGGATGGTGGCTAGCAGTGGAATCCAGGATGCGCATTTCGTCCTATTTGGGACTCGTCAGCTGGATCAATCAATCCACGGGAAAATCAAAAATTCAATTCACCAGGAGAAACAATTCACACAAGAGTGTGCGAGCGAAAATATATATGAATGTCCGAACAAGTGTGTGAACAATCAATAGACAGTCTTAACATGATTGGCTAATTATAATGGAGTATCGATCCATATATACATAGCAAAATATAGCAGACATGTCAACAAACACACATATTATATGGATATATATATCACCAAGAACAGACTGTTAACAAACACACATATTATATATACTATAAGGGGAATATACATTGTTAAAGGAGACAGGTTCATCAAAGTGAAATGGTCACAGACTAAGAGAGCAACAGAAAGAGAGACTACCATATATATATATATATATATATATATATATTTATATATATATATAATATATATATGGATACACATCACCTTCCTGTTGTATGACCTTTAGTTAGGTGTTCAATGTTCATTCACTCTTATTTTGAGTGATCTCACCCCGTTTGGCTCACATATTCAGTTGGACATTCAGTACAAGACATTTTATAAATTACTTTGTAACGACAGAAGACATGGGCCAGGCAACAGATCGTTTATTGAGAAAATCAAGAGGTATTCATAGATTTTTATGTACATTATTGTTAACGGAGAAGCAATCTCTTCTGATTATTTGTTTTTTTGCTCAGAGGTTATTCTATCATCTCTTTGTGACCGTTCTTAGAAAGTTAAGCCATATATCTGCGAATCATATTTCCACACGTTAACTCCACAGTGATTGGTTGGTGATTTTCTCAAAGTTAAGCTTTGTTACTGTGTTTTTTTCTTCTCATGACCCCGATTAGGGACGTGAACACTGATGTAAATTGTTGTCGACAATTTTGGCTTGCAGCCAGCTCTCTTACCACAACATTACTACTTTTATCCATCATTTCAATTGAATCTTTCAGTTGATTTATTTTATTTGCAATTTGATTTGTTGGTTTAAACGTGGTACAAATCCAAATATATTTTTAAGGTTTCTCCGAATCGCCTCTAATGTACCATTTTTGTATGGTATTGTGATTGTGTTTTTTTGCCTTCCTCCTTCGTGTCATTGTCTGGTCTTAACCTCTGTTTTTCTCTTCTTTATATTATCTCCAATAAATTCTTAGCTACGTAATCAATATACGAAACAATGCATATCACACAAAATAGTTTAGGTGAAATTGGTTTCGTCAGCCCTTACGTACACATATAGTTTAACAGATTTTGCCCCTTTTCTTGAGCATTTCACGTGTAGCTTGTAGGTGGGTTTCTAAAATACCCACTTAAAACTCGAGAACATCTCCGAGTATGGCTAAGTAAAGGTGTAGTAGAAACCATCAATAGTTCGATATTAGACCACCTAGTCTAAACCGACCGGCCACAAAGCCACTCAGTATTGAAGAGTCCTTCTCTATTATCCACCGGCTACCAATTTAATTGCCAGAAACATCGAGGTACCGCATACTCCAAACAGCAGAGGCTATCGCGATTCGCCTGAAACAACCAGTGCTTTGTGTGCAAAAGAAGCAAGTCCAGTCACTACTACTGCCCTGGCCAGCCATCAGTGGAGACTATAAATTCATGAATTTGTATTATTATCCTTCCTAATTTTTCCGATATTCAGTGTGTATTGTCATATTGATGCTACTGAACTGTAATCCCTTGATATTATTATTATTGATTCGATGTTATTTAAACAACGTTAATGTTGTTGTTAATAACACTAACTCATTCATTCACTATTATTTATGTATGTATTTATTATGTATGTATGTATATAACTGTAGAACCTAATGATGAAGAGCAGGTTATCGTAAAGAATATTCTTTGTTTAGGAACTATTCTTTTAAAAATACAATCATAATTCTGAAGGGAACATTTCATATCAATTACAAATACGTATTTTTCATGCTCGTCATTCAAACAGAATCCTTAGTTCAAGTATTGGTTTGTAGGGATTTGGTTGATTGGTTACAGGATTTCATCATGAGCTGACATTGGTTAGAGAACCATTGGAAAACCGGTAGTGGAGCACTGGACAGCTGTTTCGTCAGCCTAGTTTGGGACTCTTCAGCAGTACGCACCCACACCACGGGGTTAGGACCCAGGATCTTCTGGTTACAAGGCAAGCTAGCTCGTAGACCGTTAAGCCACTGGGACCCGATCCAATGGTCCTTGAATTCTAACTTCTGCCAATTCACGATATAGCGCAACCGCTAGCCAATGTCTTCGGCGAGTATTTGTCCTCACACCCGATGTGCTGCACCCTACTGGTCACGACTTCTCACTGGAACCGCAGGTAACTACCTACCTGAATAGGACCAAATCCTCAATCCCTAAGATTGGGTAATAAAAAGTTCACTTTCACTGAGTGGTATGTCAAGAAAGTCGATGCTGTATGTAACCAGAAGGTAACAATCCCACAAACATCCTCACTCTCATTTTTTAAAATGTTATTGATTCCAGTATGGCAGCAATACTTATCCTGAGGAAGCCTGACATCAAATCCAGTTTCTGGTACAAAAAAACAGTATTGAAGGATACCGATAACCTTCAGTAAGAATTTAGCAAGTGACCAAAATTTTATCCAAATCGAAAGATACACAGAGACTGATCCCAATGGGGTCCAAAACATTTCGGGGAAAGACATGAGTAATAAGTTAGGCAATACTCGCCAACTATTCAGGCTTCTTCGGTTAAACAGGCTCTTATAAATTAAATGACCCCCCCCCCCACACACACACACACAGAAGGATAGGACTTGAGAATAACTTCTCAGGAAAGACGACCAGAACGTCGTACCAAATAGTTTATAGAGTTCATATTTATTGCTTACAGTTGCCTACGATACAACTCCATTCAGGTTAGAGTTGTAGACAGAGGTACCCCCACTCAACCATTATATGAGGCTATGACAGGTGTTTCTAATCTAAAAACGAGACAAAGCAGCAACAGTACTTGATAGAATGACTCCAGAAGTCTTTAAGAATGATGACAGCCAACTACTGACTAGATTAGTCAACGTATTAGTTACTGCATGGAAATCAAAGACAGTTTTAACAAAATAATACACATCTCAGGGTTTAGGGAGGGAAGTAAATCCTCCTGTATTCATCACAGGAATCCAACTAGGCTTCAGGTTCAGATGCAAGTGTATTTAATATATATATATATATATATATATATATATATATATAAATATAATATATATAAATTATATATATATATCCTTTGACAGGTTCTGAAATACAAGTATACTTACTTGCAAATGAACACTTAACATACTTATCGACCTTAAGGAAGTACTATACTTCATCGATCGAGATGCACTGTGTCGCATAAAGTATGACGTACAAAACAGCACAGAATTCTTCAAACTTAACTACGTTTGGCATGCAAACGAGTATGTTGACGACGTAGGAACGGTATACACAGACTTCAGCGAAAAATGTCTCAGAATTTGGCAGATTACTTACACAAATTAAACGAAACTTACTATTCAGATAGTCTGATTGTGCTTTCCGGAATGCAACTGAAAGATCCTGAAGAGTTCGAGCCAAACTACACAGAACATTTTCAGCTAATTTTGATTCTTGAGATTGTTGCCATAATGCTGAAGAACGTTTCAATTTAGATAGCTGACTAAGCTGGCCATGTGATAAGTTGAACAACTTTTTACATCAACAATTTAACAACAGTGAAGTGAGGCAGCATGAAAAGAAAGAGAGGACAGAAGAAATTAATGTATTGATACAAAAACGCACATACTATAGTATAGTTCACACCAAGCACACGATCTTCTGCCTGTCTGACTGACTTGTTTCAACATATAACTTTACACAGATGTGCAAATGTTCGAGTTGCCACACTCCCTTTTTGTAGCACACAGAGCAAGAGAAAAAAGTAAAAGTAAATGCAAAATAGAGACAGTGAAGAGAGATATGAGGCAAAAAGAATAGTAATATCGAAGAAGAATATAGTTTTATTCGATATTATAAGTCACAAGGAGTGGATGCATCTGCGCCAGCCATTCAGAACGATCACTTTGAGCCATATCACCAACTGTTTCCAGCTATTGGTTTTTACCGTCCCCAGGACCTCAACTACACAGGCAGTCTACACCTTCCTACGTGGCTGGCTAAAACTAAACATTGTGGATTTCATTGACTGGTGAAGCCATGTTTTGATTTGACCACCACTAGCCAACTCTTTTCCAACCTGATACTATGTCAGCTAACATTCGCCGTCGAGGAAGGCGAACACATGTCCTAACCACCTCATTTGATGTAACTCCCCTCCTTGCCTAGCACTGGACGCCTAACCTCAATATTGCTCGCCCTATTATATCGCCTATCACGGGAGATAGAACACAGGCATCTATGATCAAAGACAGCTAACTTTCTCATACCTTCCCCTCTTAGTGACCATGTCTCAAAGTCATAAAGGAGGACAGACTGAACTACTGAGCAATACACACGCCTTTCGATCGACAGCCAGATATCACGTCTACGCCAGAGATGGCGTAATTTGGCGAATACCAAAGGAGGCTTCTGTATCTCTGCTGAGATTACGTCACTGATCAACCTGTTGGGACCGATGTAACTCCCCGAATAAGTGAAGTAGTCAACACGCTCAACAACCACTGCACTCCTGCCCATCTATAAGCTAGGAGGTAATGTAGTCCAGTCAGCCTACAGCAAGTATCATCTTACATTTGACAGGAGCGAATCGCATGCCAAACATTCGATGATTGCTGCTCAAGGTGTTCAGAAAACTCTACATCTTGTCAGCGTCTTCACCTAGGAAGGAGGACTATATCATCCGCATATTTTAAGTCAACAAGACAAGCATTCCCTGATGGTAACAAGTCTATCCTTGAGTCGCTGAAGTTAGTTAAGGCTAAGTTCATCAGTATATCTATAATAAAATTAAACAGTTATAACATGTGGCTACCGGTGTCTAACTCTACCAATCTCCTTTTATCAGAACATACGAAGTGAATGTCAACTAGAAAACCTAGTATGTCTTTAGTATTTATATCATATTATCAGCTTAAGCGTTCAACTTTCAGCTACTGAGTCGAGGATTTGAATCCCAAAGTCCACCTATTTCATCTTGAATGGCTTAGTATTACTATCATCAGTCCTCAATAAGTGCAGTTCATATCTTGATATATAGGAAAGCAATTTTATGCAGGAAAAACTGCATTAGACGTTTTATGTCACACGAGGAAGTTTTAAAGTTTTTATATGCTAGTTAACAGTTGAAAATATAATAATAACAACAACAAAGCACAAACATTATGTTATTCGCAGTGTCAGCTGGCTGACATTGGATGAATAAGGTTGAAAAAGAGCTAGCACATGACGATTAAACTAAAACATGACTTCGTCACTCCATGAAATCCATAAGAGTTAGTTTAAGCCAGCCAGTCAGACACATAAGCATGGAAGTGTAGACTGTCAGTCTGGTTGAGTTCCTCGGGATCGTAAGAACCAATGGCAGCATCTGGAGACAATTGGTGATACTGATCAAAATCGTCGTTGTCAATGACAGCGCAGATGCGTTAACTCTTTTGTCTTTTGAACCTCCCTTTACTCTCTTCTCTTCCTGTGTGGTACATGGAGGGAGTTTGGGAGCTGGAACTAGTGTACATGTGTGCAAAGTGCTATGCTGAAACCAGTCACTTAGTCAGTGTTTGCATTGAATAAACTTATACGATAGTAAAGACAAGTTAACAAGAAGACAATCACACTGTAAGTACCTCCACATTGCAATCGGAGACTCCAATACGATGGTAGCATACACTCAACAAATATGTGCATACTCTTACACATTAGATGAATACTACTTATTGTATGAAGGGGGTAAGTGAGACTCGAACTTGTGATCCAACGGATGAAAAATAGTATTTCAAGGGGACGATATGGTCGTCGATTTCCAGTCTAGAAATATACCACCAATCAGTTGTCTTATAGATGAGTAAACAGATGACTAATGGATTTTCTTTTCCCACCCCATCATTGGCCTATATATATATATATATATATATATATATATATATATATATATATATATAATCTTTTAAAGCAATTAGTTTCCTTGATAGATTTGTGCAACACATTTTGGACATTCTGATCACGCACACACACGAGTACTTTTCATATACATCTATATATTAGGCAAGATAACATAGATTATTACAGTACAGGTAATGACCACATATAAGAAGTAGGAAGATGATGTAAGAGTCTGGGGTAGGAAAGGTAAGAAGAAGGAAGACGGTGGGATTATCATTAACTAAATTGAATCTTGATTCTAAGGTGGATTACCAAGGCAAATTTAAAGTCATAACAAATAACTTTTGGACACATAACACAGGCAGGTTTAAGCCTTTTTATAACCAATGCTTCAACGAATTCAGGTATGTGACTCAACCTTGTTTTATATGTACGTTTAAAGGCATTATTGAAATCAACACCTTGTGACCCGTCTCTAAGATGTCTGATCTGTTGTGAAGCACATCAGTTTCAGGGGTCAGTTGTATCCGGTTATTTTATTTGTTGTTGCAGCCACTACTTTGGAATATGTTCTGTAGTTGTAACCTGCATAGACCGATGGGTCCTGCCTATGTACGTGTGTCCACACATATATGTAAATTGGTAAGCACAATGGGATGTGACACTATCGTTCAGATGTGAGGGTTTACAGGACAGCATAGATCGCGTTTCCTGTATGAAGATAAGTTTAGCTCCATTGCAATTGGTTCTATTAATTAATTCCTACCGGCGTCCAACAGTCATTATATTTCTTGACCTAAAGGCAGCATTCGACTCTGTCGATCGGGAAGTTCTCTGGAGATGCTTGGCTGTAAAGGGAATTCCAAGAAAATATATTGCACTGATTAAGGCACTCTACTCGTACTCATACAGCCAGGTGAGGGCTTACGGCGAGCTGTCATCTGAACTGATGACGACCAGTGGTGTCCGTCAAGGATGCCCATTATCTCCTTTTCTATTCAACTTCATCATAGATGTGTTAATGGACTTAACCCTAGGTGACTTCAGTGACTCAGGAATTGACTTGCTACCGGGGAGTAATCTCGTTGACTTGAAATATGCAGACGATATAGTCCTTCTAGGCGAAGACGCTGACGAAATGCAGAGTCTTCTAAACACCTTGAGCCGCAATCTACGAATGTTTGGCATGCGATTCGCTCCCGCCAAATGCAAGATGATGTTACAGGACTGGACTACATCGATGCCTAGTTTAAAAATAGGAAGTGAAGTGGTAGAGCACGTTGACCGCTTCACTTATTTGGGAAGTACCATCAGCCCCAACGGGCTGGTCTCTGATGAAATCTCAGCACGAATACAAGGGGCTCGTTCCGCATTTGTTAGTTTACGCCGACTCTGGCGTAGACGAGATGTTCGACTATCGACCAAAGGGCGGGTGTACTGCTCATCAGTCCGCTCCGTCCTCCTTTATGGCTGACTGTGAGACCTGGCCACTGAGAGTGGAAGACATGAAAAGACTAGCTGGCTGTCTTTGATCATAGGTGCCTACGTTCTATTTCCCGTGTAAAGTGGCATAATAAGGTGAGCAACATGGAGGTTAGGCGTAGAGTTCTAGGTAAACAGGGGAAATCAATCGACGAAGTCGTGAAGCTACAAAGACTGAGATGGTTAGGACATGTGTTACGTATGTCAAGCCATCGCCTCCCTCGACGAGCAATGTTAGCGGATATAGGGTCAGGCTGGAAAAAGGTTAGCGGCGGTCAAACAAAAACTTGGCATCAGTCAATGAAATCCACAACAGTTGGTCTAAGCCACGTAGAAAGGTGTAGACTTCCAGGCTGGGGTCCTCGGGACGGTAAAAATCTATGGTTGGAAACAATTGGTGACATGGCTCAAAGTGATCTTTCTCAGTGGCGCAGATGCATCCACTCCCTGTGACTTATGATCTTCAATGAAACTGTTTTGTATTTCTTTATTACTCCTTTGTCTCACACCTCTGCTCACTGTTTCTATTATGCTTTTCTTGTAATTTCTTCTCTTGCTTCGCGTGCTACACGGAATGTGGCGACCTGAACTTCCGCACATTTGTGCAAAGTTCTATGTCGAAAACAGACAGACAGACCCTGAGTCTTTATTTACTGAACAGACTTCGTTGATCACCCCGTGAATGGTAAGGATATCAAAATGCCCGAAATGTGTTTCGCAAATACATTACACATTTCGCATAAATTACGTTTTATTATTGTTTTGTCGAAAATACTTCCTTTTGTAAATACACTTTTCGTTTCATCATCTTGCGTACTCTCTCTTAAGTAGGGGGACTGGGAAACCAAATAGCTGTTGATGTAGACAGATGATTTCGTGATCACTATGTCTGTCAGCAGCTCAGTGTCCCTATTCAACTCAACATTTTTCAAAATATACAAAGGAAAATAAACCACAGAGTGTAGTGTAGTCTCCATACTGATTCAAGCGACACAGGAAATGAGTAATGAAATATACAAAGTGAGTTTAGAGTAACCACATATCTACCTACCTGAGTAAGCTCTTTTGTTTGAAATTCTATTTCTTGATCTTCATCTAAATTATCATCTAAATTCGATGCCATAAGATGTCTGTCATGTAGTGCGATAACTTCTTTCACTAAAAGACAAAAATTTTATTTTAAAATTAGAAAGCCATTAGTCAAATATGTACTTACTTTTTTGTCGTATCATGCTAAAGGTGTATTGAAGCGAATTGACACTATTTTGCCTACAAGAATTATTGATTATTACAGGTGCAAATTAAAAACAAACCATTCTTTACGAAACTTTTCAGAAGACGCTCTTTCACCACTTCTATGCTTAGATTTTGTTGACACTAATGCCTCTTGGTCAGACTTCTAAATGAAAAGCAAAATTTCGAACGATACTTTGCTGAAATACACGAGATTTCAATTTTAAACAACAGTTAATAGATTCTTTTTTTTTTAATAATAATAATAATAATAATTGCTTTATTCCAAAAACAGTACTCATGATACAGCAAGGAATTTTCAGCATTCAGTACAATATTGCATCTAATTTACCCAAAAACGACAAAAAAAAATTAAAAATACACAATACATAATAGTAATAAAACGATTGTTGTAACAGCTGCGTAGCAGAATACTGTGTGCCATACGGAGAAAAATATGTATAAAGTACAAAATTGTAGTAATAATAGTAATACCAACTAATATAAAATAGCAGAGTAACGATTTAAACGATAGAAAGTGTAATACCATAAAATACAGAAAGATGAACGATAAAAGGGTCGATTCACTGTGCTAATTACATAGTAACTTGTAAGTTTCACGTCTAACGGAGTCTTCGTCACATAAAGTACGCGCTAAATAGGGTATTGTAGAATTTCTATACTTAGTAGTACGAGCATATATCTTTTTATATTGACTTCTCGTCCTACCTGATGAGATACAAGGGGACAGGTGTGAATAAAGGGGGTGCAGAGGGTCTGACATTATAGCTTTTGCCCATTTCGTACAGGAATTTATATGCCTCTCGACTATAGTATTAGCGAGCTCATGCAGTGGCAGACCACAAGCTCTACTCACAGCATTTAATACTCTTCGTAATATGATATAATCTTTTTTGAGCAGCCCAGGAAAGATTAATAGAGAGCAGTAGAGTACAATAGGTAAAATACAGGAGTTTAAAAATTGCAAAACTAAAGGTTGGTTGATACCTGATTGTCTTAACTTTTTAATGTAAAAGGTAAGACGAAACATTTTCTTAGAGATAGATAAGATATGGGATGACCATGAAAGGTCAGAGGAAAAAACTAGTCCAAGGTATTTAATACTTGATTTGGTTTCAATTTCCGTGCCATCTATGCTACAGGGATCATGAGAGTTAACTAGTTCAAGTAAGTCACGTCGATGCTTGAAAGTAAAGTCAAGCACCTGACATTTGGAAGGATTTAACATAAGACCATTTGATTTGGACCAGTTGTTGATGTCTAACAGAAAGCTATTAAGTTTGGAGCTGTCAGACTCGGAAGTGATAGGCAGTGATACAGTCAGATCGTCTGCATATTTAACAAAGTTAGTTTCGTTTGAATGGGGCAGGTCATGTAGGAAGAAAGAAAAAAGAAAAGGAGAGAGGACAGCGCCTTGTGGAACACCGGATTTTGTAAGCGAGGTAGAAGAAGATTTGCCGTTATATACAGTATACTGCATTCTATCAGAAAAATTTCACACCAAAATATGAAATAATTAATGCATTTTAAGGATTAAATATTAATCAAAATGTCTTTGACAAAAACTGATTTTGAAACTCTACTAAGTTGAGTGTGTGATACCGATTATACAGCAAACAGAAAACAAAGATTACTTCTCTATTCCGAACTAAACTTCCAGATACCATGTGAAACAAAAACGCATAGTGCTGCCTGTTATACTGATTGAAATAGAGGCCAAGGAGGAACTATATTACTGTGGGGTACTGATTCTCCTAGCCAATCATAAACCCCTTGAGTCGAATTCTATAAGAAATACCTACGCTTCTAATCTACTCGTCCAAGAATAAATTAGATAAGCACATATTATTATTACAATAGGATCAGCAGGCTGGAAGCCTCCTGTCCTCAACCAAAGAGCTATCTGATCACATGAAAATGAAGTTTTGGAGATAAATGAATGCTGTAGAACACTGCATAGTACTAAAACGACGATGAGCAGAAGTCCCCACAGAGAAAGAAGCATGTGCGACCAAAGCATGGGACCAAGTACTCTGGAAGTCCCTTGAAACAATTTTCAAGGCATTATCCGGCACCCTGGTACTCCCAGGACAATCGTATTTTTATAACGACTCTCCTACAATCTTTATCAATAATAGCATATCAAGTTTAGAGGATGGCAGAACACATTTTGTCAAATCCCCCAAGAAAGTAATTTGAACTTGTGTGAAATAGCCAAGCAAACTAGATAGCTTTTTAGAATGGCGAAGAAACTGTTGATATATAAATGAATGTACACATACGTATATATTACTACATTAGAATGTAGTGATAAATTACTGAAATGTGTAATTATAATACGTATATATACGTATACGCACTTCAGTCATTTAAGTATTCCCGTAGTTTATTTAGAAAATCCTGAAAGAGAGGATCTTTTCAACAAACTCCTTTTATGCTTTACAATTACATATCCATGAATGTTACAATACCATATCCAGTAAAAGCAGATCAAATTACATGATACTGGAGTAAGTAAGAAAGACTTAACCCTGACAGGTTTAGGGACAAATAAGTTACAAATACGAAATGCGGGCTTACGTCATCACGAAAAAAGCTTCTATTCTGAAGGGCATTATTCCGCATAAACGTAAAGCTTTCTGTTAGCGACCGAAACGCCATCACGGTTTTAGACGACGCGGTGTACTTCAAGGCCAATACTATTTTCCAAGGGATCCAGATTCAGATAATACGGATAGTAGACTCTTGCTGCTTATGTTCATCCTTGCGACATGTATCTCTGCAAAAGATTTGACTTCTCTCTGAAAGTGTTCACCAACGGAGCTTTTACTAATGAATCAGGTAAGGAGTTTCAGTCGTTGACCACTCTATGAGAGAATCTAAATTCAACCTTTTATGATGACCTCGTAAATGCATCCTGGAGGAAGATAATTGTTTGGGCAAATTCTAAAATCGCCCTTTAATATACGGTATGCAAAAATTAAGTCGCCTCTCATCCTTTGCTAAGAGAATGGGAAGAGATTTAAATGCTCCATCCTCTTGTTATAAGGAAGATGTGGGATGCTGGTGATCATTTCGGTTCTTACCCTCTGAACTCTTTAAAAGAGATGTGCCTCCTTCCTGAGGTATGGTCTTGCAGTTTGTATGCAGTGTCCTAAATAAGGCCTGACATATGCTGAGTAAATTACCTAGAAAATAGACTCGTTTAATTATTTGAGAGCCCATCGACGTTTCCATAGCGTTCAGAAGGCCTTAGCTGCAGATGCATTGCAATTCACAGTTGTTTTCAAATCATGGCCGATAATTCCCAAGCCCTTTAGTCCGTTGATAGCTCTTTGTCCCCCAGGGAGTTCGACGTGTAAGACCTTTGACCTAGGTGCATTACCGCACTTTTCTTGGAATTAGTATCCAGACTCTAGAGGTTAGCCCACTCAGCTAATTTATCTCAATCGTTTTGTAATACTAGCCTATCATCATTATTATTTACAGTTTTTCATATTTTAACATATTCCGCAAATAACGATCCTTGTCGCGCGCTCCCTGAATACGACGTGCTTTTTCCTCGTGTGAGGATATAGGCTATAACCAGGTGTTGTCGCGCAGCTTCATCGGTTACCGCGTTCACGGCTACAGGCGTTATAATCGCCTATTTTTTGGAAATAGATCATATTTGACTAGTTTTCGACTTCTGGAGCCAGACAGCAGTATTTTGTTCGTAGTAAAGCGTAAAATTGTATATTATAGCTCGGACGGATTATCAATGAAGAATTCATCCTTTTTAAGAAAGTTTGCATAGAAAGACTATTATTTGCATTATAGTGCGTTGAGGGTTTGTTTTTCGCAAGTTGTTTCAAATCTTAAGGTTGTTAATATACTACAGGCAATGGCAGAGTACTTAATGTCAGAGTACTTAAAATGAGTATCAGCTTTCTGTCGATTAGTAGCTAGCAGCTGTGTCATACAACTACTACGCCTGTTACATAGGTTATATTAATCTTAATAATTATTTTGTTTCAGATCACTAAGATATTCTGAGATCCCTAATGACTTAATTGTGGCTATGAAAGATATGGAAGATGCACTTATAGCCCACATATTTAAAGCAGTTATTACTAAACAAGTTATCTGTAAGCATTTTGTGATGTTCTGATTACAATGCTTCAGTGTATGGGGTTATTGCCTGCTTCTGTGAGTTAAGGGATATTTGGTGAAAATCATGATACAATGAAGGTTCCTATGAACTCACTATGAATACTGCAAACTGTTGATAAGAAACTGCATCAAAGGAAAAAATGCCGAACAGCTAGAAAATACTACCTCAGTTTCGATGATTATTACCTTTTGCATTTGTAAATCATCCTTCAAAAGCTCAGATTGACGGCAAACCATCCATGGTACCCCACAGAAATTCGTCAGAGGTCTTGCATGTCAGGTTGTCTTAGGAATTGTAAGGTTGCAGATATTTCAATTTACCTGTCACTGAAATATCACTTATATACTTCACTATGGTCTTTTTATTTGTGCGATATTACAATACATTTTATCTTAACTGGATATGCCTTTATTAAAGCTGAGACTTACTCTTTGTGCCTATTAGTTGCTTGCTTACAGTCTAGTTGCTTTTATTAAAAACACAACAGCACCAGTGTTTGAACAAAGCTGTATTTTCATGGAAAACGTCATATTTTCTATGCTTACACCGATATGGTTGGCATTAAACATTGCAAATGTATACTAACATTCCAAGGACATAGCACTTAGCCAAATGTACAGTGTTCATTGTGGAGGGTTTACAATTTAACACTCATCATAACCTGTTCTAATTATTATTATTTGCTTGCTGCTATCCTTTAGAAGATGAACAATATGTGTGACAGTAAAAACCACAGAAGAATGCTGTCATGAAGGAAGACTGAGAAAGGAGAATGAACCATTTTCAGCAAAGGTAGGCAAATCTGAAGCGTTTAACTTAAATACTACTTTTTTGTTTACTTTTCTGCAGATATCCGGTAACGTCATTCAACCCGGTCACATTGATTCGACATTGTCCAAATTATTACGACGAACAACTGCGTAAAGACATTTGCTTGTTATTATTTTTGATTAGATATATTTAACATCCTGCTAACCAGACCTTTTTTATTCTGTCTGATTGTAGATATATTTGTCATGATGACTAGATGCAGGCGCGACTTATTAATGAGACCTGACGAAGTAATTGGTGGCATATAGTAGTGTAAGGTAAATCTAGCTACGAGTGCTAAAGCTGAACGAATTCAATAATTTGTCTCGTGTAGACTGAAATTTACGCTACATGTTAACAGCCTTAGTCATATGGAATGACATCACGCTTTAAGTGAAACATTAATGATGCAATACTTTCGAATACACGTAACCGTATAAGAACTGGAACTCGAATGCAGTGCCTAAGTTATGTCTACTATTGTCATTTGTCCCTAAAGACTTGTATATGACTATGAGACGTATGCACGTAACCTCACTAAAATACTTATAATTTAACACGTATGACGACCGACATCGTTCCTACACAATTACACTTACGTACAGTTAGTAGTTAAAGTCCTAGAGAGCACCGGTCTAGCATGCCGTGCTCAATAAGGGAACACATGAATTGAAAGACAACAAGATTGACATGAAAATTTTATTTTAATTGTGATACAAATTCAGTTTATTTACATATTCAGAGTACGATTGATTCCTGCGATTACTTCTACTGAATAATTCCTGGCAAACACTTCTCCAAATTTGTCATTAATTTTCCTAATGCCCACATTCATAATACTTATATAGGTTTCGAGGGACAACAGCTGACGTGCACTGAGATGCGAACAAGTTGCGAGACCACGCCCATTGTTTACAATTCTGCATCACATGGTTAACTACAAAAGGTGAAACAAAAAACGTAAAGATAACTATGAAGTGAATACTACACGTGCAATGATGGCAGCGCTTGTGTCTTGTTCCCAATTAAGGCAATGTACACAAGAATAGGGTAATGAAAATTACAACTTTCCGTATATAAGAACATTAATTAATTAAGTTTTGGTCGACATAAATTGAAAACGGAGTCATAAAAACGCAAATATACCTGTGAAATATGGCTTTCTGAAATGAACCAAAAGCAAATGTCGGCAGGGGTACCGACAGGTATGAAATGTAAAGCACGTGCAGGTGCAAGCACTCAGATCAACCTCCACTCTATTCCCATTGTCTCTGAAGAATACATAATCAAAGGATTCAAACTCAACAATAGCCCATCGTCGCCTTTCGTATTCACGCATTACCCTCCTCGCAGCGTATGGCGTCAGCAATCGTATAATTGGGATTAGACGTTGTGAACAGGGATAAGTGAAGCATCGCGTCTGAGCAATAATCGCCTCCTGCTGTATTCTTGAAAAACTTTGTTTATACCACTTATACACCTTCAGCATACTTTTATGCAGACTATCAGATCTTTGCAAGTACCGTTTCATTTGCTTGTGGGAACTCTCGACGCGATTATTTGTATCATTCCCAAAAGTCAGCACGTTGTCTCTGAAACATGCTGCCCACAATTCTCGTCGATGCATCCAACGACGTTGTAGATATTGACTGACAGTAGCATCCAATCTGCTAATAACTCTGAAATAGAAATTAAATCTGGGAAATGAGAATATTAAAGGCATTACTCTGATCTTTTTTTACACTGCACTAGACGGCATAGGTAGTTCTTCACAATGGGATTTCTTGTCTACGAATAAAATGTAAAGTATGCTTTGAAAAACTTACTTTACGACAGAAGGCTCGGCAAACATGGAAAGAACACAAAACAATGTGCGCTTCTCTGTGCGTTAACTTGACGGCTGCTATTTCAGCTTGCGCACAATCCATAATGAAAGATTCTGTTTTGGAGGTGTCTTCCATTATTTGACGGAAACAGTCTAATATCCAAACTACATCTCGTTTGAATTCTTTTCCAGTCCACGCAAATAAAACTGGTCGTCCACGACCAAAATTATCCGTCACAAGTAACTGGAACAAAGAATACCTGCACGTGCATTAATGAATTGGTAAACTTACTTCCCCTTATTTGTATTATACGTCGAATCAATACCAACAACCTCAGGGAACTGTTTATACAATTCCATTTGCTCATAAGTTGCAAAACAAATTCTTGTTAGTGAATTCCTGATCGGTTCATCGGAATAATACTCCATTAACTTCCCACGGGATTTTAGGAATTCAAAAATGTCACGACGACTCGAAATACCTAAAGTATTTAACAATTACGTCAACGTTACCTTTATTAACTGCGGCTTTCATATTTTTAACGTCGATGCGAGTTATATCCTTGTGGTACTTCTCCTTAACATGCATTATTATTTCATCGGATGAGTGGGATTGCTGAAGAAGTGGTTCCACATTTTCTTTCTCTTCAACTGTTAGTCGTCTATACCATGGGTCATTCTGCATGTACACCCTGCTGCATGGATGGTTATGTACCATATTGTGGGAAGCAATTATGTATTCACTACAACGCAAAACCACGCGAAATGAAGACGAGCAATTGCAACATTTAGACCTGAAATATTCATGAAATCATACTACACTTCTTCTTACGACTTATTTTTCAATTTCAATCCAGGTCTTGTACGATTCACCCCAAAAGTGCATTTAAAACCAACAAAAGCGTACT